CCCCGTCGACCTAGCATGCAACCCACACCAATTTACATGAGTCAACACTTAAGGCTTTTACTGCTTGCCAAGGAATTCGAACAATGGACCTAGGTTTTGCCCAACCGGTTCTTCACCACCCGGACAAGCAGCGTTGGGTAATTGTCCCGAATTTAATTTAGAAAGTTTTCAACTCTATTTTGCCTCGAGATATATGCCTGATCATGATTATTTTTTTTGATGATATATCAATCCCTTATAATATTTTTCACAACAAAATTATGATGTCGATTGCATTCCTATTTTTATCTGTGTATATATTAAATCTTTGTAAAAAAAATTATGATTTAAAATTTGTTAAAATTCTCAACTTTTTAATCATAATTTTTTTGGCACATAATAATTATATTAAAATAAAACATCCAACATGAAATTCAAAATAAATTAAATGTATATTCTGTCAAACCAAACAGAGCAATTATTTTATCCTCATCTTCAGAATTTCTCCGCATATAAGAATTTCTCCTTAATTTTTTTCGACATCAAATCCAAACTTTAATATTTTGATTTTCTACCACTGTAATTCATCGTTCTCAAAGTTCTTTTCACCATTAATTTGGTCTTTCAGTCTCGATACGCATCATGACAAAAAACCTTCACTTTGATCATTTGACCATCGATCGAAGCCGACGACGACCCCACTCGGAGGCTCCACCGTCCCCACCTCCATCCCATCCGCTGTCCAAATATTCTCCATTTATATTATATTTTCTAGCTTCGTTTGCCGTCAAATAAATACAAAAAAATCATTTTCTGAAATAGCAATGGCTGCCATCATCGTGACATATGTACGTCGTCATGGCACTGAGAATGCTGTGTTTCTCAGCGAGGAGGTGGAATCCACCGTATTTCATGCCTTCTTTCTTTCTGGGGCCGACCAGCAACTTTGACCCGCCCCCGTGAGCTTGCGCATCTAGCTAGCTCTTTAATCATTCATATCACCCTATAATAAAAATAATATATATTATTTACTGTACCGTGGATAATCCAACAACTATAAGCGCATAATTCTAATAAAACAAAATATAGTTTTAGGGAGTGTTTGCGAAGCTCTCTGACTTATTCTTTTTAGAACTCAATCATATTTTTACTTCCCTATTTATTTTTTTTATTTTCTTATTATATTTTAAAAAATTTAATGATAAATTAAAATTATATTTTGTAGTCGAATTTATTAATATGTATTGTACTTTTATATATAAATATATATTATTTATTTATTTATAGTTCTTATAGAAGTTTTCAAAAAAATTTATTTTCTCATAATATTTTTATAATCAGCATTATAAAAAATTATAGTTACTTTAATATGACTTAGGACATCTCCAACCAAAAATCTTATTTTTTCACTCCAAAATGCCGTGAAACTCTAAAATGTTGTGATTCATCTCCAATCGAACTTCATTTTGCGCGCTTCTACGAAGGTAACTGTCTTTCTCCTCTTTCCCGCGTTTCTTCGACAAATTCGATTGAGGCAGAAAAATCGTATAGGTGAACAGTGCAACGTCAATATTGGTGTCGCAATGTTCACCAATAAGCAAATAGCGGAAGATTTGATGTTCGGCTGGAGCGACCGAATGACACCATACGCATGCTTGATGTTTGGTTGGAGATGCTCTTATAAGCTATTAATTTAATATTTCATTATGGGATAATTTTTTTACTATTTTATGAAGTCTTTTAATATTAGTATAAAAATTTTATATTAAAAAACTGCCATATGAAACATTAACAAAATCTTTCCAAACAAAAACTAAGATTAATCTGTTATATTTGATTAGATGGCTCAAGATATATAATGCCTTTACGTGCTTTCGTTCATTTTTCTCTTTTGGATTATCAAATCTTTGAATTTAAATCAAATCAGATCAACATATAGTTCAGGCCATTAAAGAGAAAATCAAATCAAATCGAACTTGAAATTGAAAGATTCTTTTGTCCACTTCAATATATGAAACATAACAGGAAAAAGATAAATAACACAAACTTACTGAACACGTTGATTTTACAGAATTAAAAAATAAGCTCTCATTCATTTTCAGCCGCACAAATTCAAACAGTTTGTAAAATCTATTGAAAAGTCCTGCTTCAGATGCAAGTAGGGCTACGGAGAGGCGAAGTGGACTTCTTCCTTGCACTATTGTGTTTGAATGCGATACTCCAAAAGTAATAAACAACAAATTTGATTCATAGCGAAATCTCAATTTTAGGAAAATAAGCTTTCTAGTCTCTTTCCTTCTCTTTTATCGTCAGCTGATTAGAACAACATGTTTATCTTCTATTATTTAAAACAAAAAAATTAGAAAATTAGACCTGATCTTGTGGTGATAAACCTGTTATAAGATAAAGGCATGGTGTTTTGATCTCCTCCTATAGATGTTTTCTACATGAGTTCGATCTCTTGAGAAGCTTCAATAATCTCCTGATTTATTTTGAAAATCAAAGTCTTAGGTAAGTTGAATGAGTGGATCACAGTGATCTAAAATTAAACTTTATTATTCTATCAGTGTTGAAATTTATTTTTATTTTAGTTGGAATATTTAAGCACCAATATCAAAGCATGATTATGCCAACTTGTCAGGATTGTCACATATTTCTAGATTTTACAGAACTATAACATCCACATAATAGTCATGTTACACGGCATAAATCACTGCTTCTTTCAAGTAAATAATTTAATTAAGGGACTAATGTTAAATATTTTTTCAGTCTAAGAACTTGTGAAAACTAAGATTTTGTTTGGGAGACTTTTTTTATTATTTATATATTAAAGATACAACAGAAAAAATATTTTTTTAAAGCTATTATATAGAAAACAGCTTTGTATAATTTTTTTTAAATAGTAAAAAAAATGTTCAAATAAAAGTTATGATTACGAAAAATCAAGTGTAAGAAAGTTGTCTCAAATAAAGACTCTATGAAAGCCAATCTGCTTATATCAATATATTTTTATTAACAAAAACATACTCTATTTACCTGAAAGGGACTGTTACAACGAATTGACTACTATGAGGCCAAGCTGCAAAGCTTCTATCGCAGTCAAGTTGAGATAAAGATCAAGTTGGATTATTTAAGCTTACAAGAATTACACAATGGATATGAAACTTAATTGATGGCAATATATGGACAAAGCCATCCAGATCCTTCTTCTCTTTAAGACTAATTAATTATCTCCCCTAGGATCCTAATGATGATGGTTATGTCATACATGATGGCATTCTTGATGCCAAATATTCGCTCGCTAGCTAAAAAGAAAATAACAAATATGCATATGAACTTTCTTGGGATTTAATTTGCTAACTATGAAATTTCTTTACAAAGCTGGAGAAGGATTATAGTCGGAGTCTGTAAGCTAGATAACATAAGTTGAAAGAGAGAGAATGCTCAGTGAGATAGAGCATAGCACAAAATGAACAACACAGGATATCGTTGTTTGATGGTCTCTGCATGCATCTATTATTACGATGCACTGGTTCTCTGATTACAACGAAGGACGACGATGAAAGTGAAAGCCTAAAAAGAAGAGAATAAGAATATAAGAACTTAAGCTCATTCGATGAGTATATATCCCAAGACTAAGAAAATCCGAACTGATACGATCAATCTCTCTGTCGCTCTCACTCTCGCCACCCTAACCTTCGACCTCCCTAATTAAGGACAGATTATTGGGTGCAGACATCGAAGGGGAAAGAATCAATCTATTTTCTCTCTATCTAGTAAAAGCACAGTCAAAGCGCAGTTAGTATAGCAGCTGCAGTTTGAATGCGCTTATATTATAGACAGAGAGAAAATTGGATGGTTCTCTCCGTCCGGTGTCCGCACACAGTAAAAAGTTGGATGCGTCTCCTATGCCTGGCAAGTTTGCCAAGTGCGAATAACCGTGAAGAGGAAGCTAGCTGCAGAAGATGACACCCAAACAGACCCTTACACTTTCGTTTGGGATAACTTTCTTACGGCTTTTTAAATTGCTTTTTTAGTATAAAATTTTATAGTTCTAAAAATATTTATATTAAAAAACCGTTTTAAAAAACAGTAAGAGAGGTGTCCCAAATGAAGCCTTTTATAGTTGCATGCAAAATCATGATTTTTTTTTCTTGGATTTTTAGAACTTTTGGTATCAGTTGATCTTTTTGTTAAGGCGAATTTGGAAATTTTGATGGATAAATTTTGATTTAATCTTTTCTTATTTTGTAAAACAAGGCTGTAACGTTATAATAAAAATATTACCTTTGAATAAAGAAAAAAAATACCTTCCAAGTTGCTAAAAAACAGATCTTGAAAAAAAAAATAAAAAACTTTTAGTTCTAGGGAGAAATTTTAATTATGTGTTTCATACCATTTAAGTCTTCATTTTGGACACATTTCTTATTGATTTATAAGGAAAAAATTATCAAATTACTTTGACAGGTGATTTCAACATTCATAAAATCATAAATAGACGCACCGAAAATATAGGTTCACATGTTGACAAAATCTTCAGCACTGTTGAGCATAGTAAAATGCTATATATATATAATTAATAGCTAAAAAATATAGTTATTGATTTCAGCCTATTAAAATGCCAAATGTCTAAATTGCAATGGTACATCGTAGGGTTGTGCAAAAACATTCCATGCCACCACAAAATTTTAATGTATTTATAAATTTATATATTAATATTTAATTTTATATTATTTTAGTATTTCAATCACATCAAAATATAAGACATCACCTAATTTTATGTTTGTAAAAATAATGAAGGGTTAACTATTATTTGGCTTATAAGATATCTATTTAATTTATATGAAATTTATGATCAGGTATAGAGATCATATATTTTATTTTATTTTTATGATAGATTAAAATAAAATAAATACACTCAAATAAAAATATGTTATAATTCAAATCTATTTTTTGAATAATTGATAAGCAAATCCTTTTTTTTAAAATATATACGATGCTTTAATATAATATTAGTACTTGGGAGCAATCATATCAGCACCAGTGCACCGGATCCCATTAGAACTCCGCAGTTAAGCGTGCTTGGGCGAGAGTTGTATTAGGATGAGTGACCCTTGGAAAGTCCTCGTGTTGCACCCTCTTAAAATTAAAAAAATAATAATAATGTAATATTAGTACTTTTTTTTGACATTATAGATCTATTCAGGCAAATCCATACGCATATCACATATGCGAGACTCGAAAGTCAAAATCATGACTTTTTAGTTGGTAAACAAAGCTCTCAACCAAAAAGTCAAAGTGAGTTAAATATATTAGAACATACAAATGCAAATTTTATATGAGGAAAAAAAAAAACAACCAAGCCTAAAAAATTCCTTAATTTTTTTATTTCTTTTTCATGTTATTTATTCTGCTATAAATACCACTTAAATTTCAAAAAATGAGGCCAACAGAAGTGAATGATTCTGTTGATTTCATCATTTTCATGCTATTTTGCTAAGGAAAATAAATAAGCTTAAGACTATATAAAAGAAAAGACAATAATTGCATGCACCTAACAATGTCACATATTCCATGAAGCATTCAGTTTGGCAGAAATTAAGGAGGTTGGTTTCCTCATAAAACAGAGCCAAACTTATTTTATAAACTTAAGACAAGGAAAGAAATACTGTTATAATTTTATGTTAATTATTTTTTCAAATAAGATGAAATCAAATTCAGTGATGATATTTGATTCTGATTGAAAACTAACGATTTATTTTCAGTACCTTTCATAAAAAGATATCGTAATAAATATAAGAACTGCATATCCTTTTTTGAGTATATAAGAAAAAATTCATGAAAATGGTACTTTTGGCTTAGTCAAAGGAGAGATTATTACGTGCGGCTAGAATCCAATCACGTGAAGACACGTAGATTATCTCATTCTTGTACACATTCTGTGTATAAAAAAGAGAAAAATATATATAGGTGTCTTCGCATGATTGGAGTCTAACAGCATCGGGATTCTACACGTAATAATTTTTCTTTCTAGAGAGGGCCATACCAAGATAACATGATGAAAGACAAAGAAGTGAAAAGTAAAAAAAGAAGAGAAGCTTTTGTATTCAGATCTATAATATCAAACATTTTACAGAGCTGGGATTCTATAAACTATAAGAGAACATTCAGCAAATCTCAGCGACATGAAGTTGATAGACATTTCTCCCTCTTTTTAAGGTTTTTAACTATCAGGGAGGGTCAATACTAACTATTACCATTTTTAAGTATACTCATATTCAACTAACTCATACAATATTTGTAAAACTACCAGAGGCTTGTGTGGCTAGCAACTAGAATAACTGATCATTATTTCATCTGGGTTAATTAGTTTCTATGTCTGAAACCATCGAGCGAGATCTGCGATTTCGAACGTATAAGATTACACAAAGGAATGTTCCTAGAGAACAAACAGAACCCCAGATGATGAAGGTCTTGTCATAGCAATCAGCACCAAAGCAGCTGTTGCTTCCTCCTTCCTTCTGGTAAAGAATGCCAGCCATGTAGCCAAAGAGGAAAGATCCAATTGGAATATTTGCAACGACGATGTTATGATTCATAGCAAAATGTTTCGTACCAAATAGCTCGGTAGTCGCCGAGACGGCAACTGAAGTAATTGCTCCTGAGCAAGCTCCTATAATGGCGGTGCTGGCATATAGTATCAAGGTGCTTGAGTTGAGCAGTAGGAAGAAGGCTCCTGCTATTGGAGCCATCGTCGTTGCCATAAGACCTGATCTTGAAATCCTGACTCCTCTTCTGAAGAATTTTTAATAGAAAAAAGTCTTGTAAGTTTGACAAGCAGCGTAGAACAAGAGAGAACTTAATTGCCGAGTGACAAAACAAGAAAACTTACTTGCCAACATAATAGTCTATGATGGATGGGAGGAGCCGGCCAAAGAAGCCAAACGAAGAAGACAAGGAAACCAGGGAAGAGGTATGAGAGAGCCCGCGGGATTGGGTGATCTGACCCAAGTTGTTCAAGAACACCATACCAAGTGTTGCGCTAAACATATAGCTAAAGAAATACAACCAAAAGTTTGTTTTCTTAAGCATTAATCTGTAACCAATTTGCTCCTTCAGATCTCCATCATCTTCCCCTTCATTCTTAAGCACAGCGACAACCACTCTATCTTCTCCTCCAACTTCATTAATGGTAAAATCATATACTCTATTTTCCTTCTTCTTCTCAATTCCTTCTCTAAATTTGACAAAAACTGGCATCATAATAGGTGCAAGCAAAAGCACTCCCAGACTTATCATATGTTCTCTGGACCAAAAACCACTTGAAGCAGAACCAATGCTACCAAGAACTGAACAAGTACCGGTAGCAATCGCTATTACAAACATCACCACAAAAGCACAATTTGATCTTGTGTCCTTTCTGCTTTCTGCTACTCGAAGCATCGGTGAAACAACCGAAGCAACAAGAACAGGACAAACAGCATTGAGGAGAAGATAAGCTTTGGCGTTTTGATCATGCTCTGGATGGAAAAATGAATCAACTAATGCAGTGTAAAGCTTAGCGCTTAGACCAACATAGCTTGTGGAAATTCCAACAGCAACAGGACTCTCTAAAGAGAAGTTTCTGATGCAGATGAGATAGCATACAGTATTAATCCAACAGATGCCATTACCAGCAAGTGAAGTAAGCAAGAAAACTTGCCAATATTTTAAGTTTGAGATCTTGTTTGCTAAGAAGAGAAATTGAACGCCATAGCCAATAAAGCTAAAGGCTGCACCAATGAACAGGACAAGCCTGAGAGAGAGATAGGTGGCTGCAAGTCCAGAAAACCAACCAAAGAGTTTTCCGGCATCAGAGGCGAAGGAAAGGTTGTTAAGCTGAATCTGCGAGATGGAAAGTAGTTGTTTGAACTGTGAGGAGTAGACTGGGAAGTCTGAGTTTGCACCGTTAATGGCCTGAAGCCAGATGGTACCAACCAAGCTAAGCCATTGGAGGGAGGGAGAAGAAGACATGATTTGAATTGAGGTCTTTCTGGTTTAGAAATAGCGAGAGTGGCTGGGTATTTAATGAAATTGATGGTGGAAGCATCAGTCAATTAGTATAACGATTGGTGTGGCTGGGAACTGGATATGTGGATTCTTGTTGGCCATTATGCAAATCTGTGTATGAGCGAAGTATGTATGTATAAATGATTTAGTGGCCCGAGAAATATTGAAGGTTATATAGAAATATCATTAAAGAATGATTATTTGGGATTAGTCATCCTGTGGATCTGGTTACGCATTGATGAATTACTACATGAGTAAATGCGAAGGGTATAAGGCCTCACTAACATGTGTAGTTACAGAAAAAACAGAGGAAAGCGACCTTTAATACTATTTCATAGTGATCATTGCCTGAAACCTCTATCAGGTCTGAAAAGTTTGAAACTAGTTCACATTCAAAGAGATCCCAGAGAAATTTTCAAGAGGTGGCAAACCGCGCAGGATATAATATAAGGAGTCCATATTTTCTTTGCCAGCATTATAGTTAGTTTATTATGCTAAATTATTTATCCGTTAATTAAGGTGCATGCCTGTCAAAAAAAGTCAGTGAGGGGCTTGAAAGAGTTGAGTGTACTCTGATTATAAAATGAGTTTGTGTGAAAATATTTGTTGTTGGCTCTCACTCATAAATTAGGTTTGTGATAGGAAACACTTGTAGATCCCAAGTATTTCTTGTCATGAAAAACAAGAAAAAAATGTAATTTTATTTCAAGAATCAAATAGAACCGAAGAAAATAAAAAGATACAATTGATTCTCTATTCGAAAGGAGGATCTTTCTCTCCCAAATCTCTAGATGCCACTAGAGCCCAAAAGAAACTTAAGCCTAAGAGATCTCAAATTTCAACCAAATTCAAGATGCCTTAACCCTAAGAAAACAAACTATTTAAGACATACATATCAAAAAGAAATCCCTAAACAGTACCTACATTCAAATTTCCCTCCTAACTCCTCAAAAAATCCCTCGTAAATTGCTTCGTTGGCTTTGGCGGCTCAGAGTCGCTAGTACAGGAAGGGCGGAACTCTTCCACCTGTTCCGCCTGAGCCGGTCCGTGTGGACCGGCTCGACCGGAATGTTCTAACAGTTTGTTTCCAAAAGAAAAGAAAAATTAAAACTTAAAATCAATCAAACTTTCAAATGTAACTCGAACTAAAAATTACCTTAAATTCATTTCAGGTCAATTTCAAGTTAATTTAAAATACATTTTGATCTAATTTTTAGTTTGAATGGTTCAAATAAGTAAGAGGAAACACAAACATGACTCAAAATGAGTAAAAATATAATGAACATTAGGCAAATGGCCTACTAGTATTTGTTGCTTGACTACCAGCAAATGCCCAAGTAGCATTTGTCCAGTGATCATTATATTTATAAATATAAATGAAAAAGCTTGAGCAAGGGTTTGCTCAAAACTTTTATGTCAATAAGTAAGAGTAAGCATAAATATAAGTTTCTCCTTTGCCTTTAACGATAATGGCTTGCTGTCTTACCAATTTCTTTTGCAGCATCAGAATAATATTATAGGAATAAAGCTCATTAAAAGTATCATTTGATGTATCATTAATATTAAGGTTCTATTAGGCAGCTTTTGATCAAGAACACTAGTTACTTGTTCATACTCATTAAAGTGCTTATTTATCTAGCATATTTGTAAGTGTTTGATTAGCGGCTCGCTTGTACAATCTCGTTTCTAAGCTCATCAGGGTGCTTATTTATAGGCTCAATATGGTTAACCAACAAGATGATCAATAATTTTGCTCATTTATAAGCTCTATCAAAGTTCATTTATTTGAACAATATTAGATCCAACTTCTCTCTACCTTTGATCTTAATTTCTACCAACATTTATAATTTTTAGGCAGTTCAGTACCTGCAAATGTATATTGTCATGAAATACTCTTTCTAATAAAGAATTAACGATCTAAGAGCAAGCAATAATGGCATTGAAAAGATGTAAAATAAGATAACCCAAAGACACAAACAATACGAAAAGGAATTAACAAATATGCTAATGATCCTAATCATAACTTCCCATGAAACTTTACTTATTATCTTCTAATGATTGAAGAAATATCTTTCAAGAAAAAGGAAAAAATCACTTTGATAGCCACTTTCAAAAACTCAAATAAATACTCCTGAACAAAGTCTCAAGAGTTGCTTCTCCTCTTCAATTTGCAATTATAATGGCGATGGAATATTACTATTAGTTAAGACGACTATTGTCAGCATCAATTCCAACTGAGAAATTATTATGTGCGGTCACCTGACGTCGTTTAGAGGTCAATTAGGACGCGCCACATCACATGATATATAATGTTACATAGCATATTGGTGATGTGGCGAGTCCTAATTGGTCTTCAGATAGCGTCCGGTGACGCATGTAATAATTTCGCCAGTTTGAAATCTACCGCCTTGATTGTTTATCAAACAGAAATTCGTGGATTAGGTAATTATCTTTATTTTTTTTTAATACTTCTGAATGCTTTGAGAAAGATATTTCCCATTTTTACTTGATGAAATTGGAGTGTTTAGCCTGTGAATTTCCATTATATTTGCAGATATTGGAGAAGGGAAGAGGATGACTGATGTCTGATACTAATAGTACTAATTTCAAGGGATGGCTTCGCTGTTTTTAAATAATAATTATATTAATTTAAACTTCTTAAAAACTGTGATTAAAAACAAGATTTTGTCACTTTTTACAGCTTATAATCATACTTTTAAAAGAAAAATTTCAATCACTTGAGTAATCAAATAACAATTAGGCTTATCTTTTCCTAATTCCACCTTTTCAGGGTTGCATCATTTGTGTATTATAGAGTTGTATGAAATAAAATATTAACTACCTTCACTCCACCTTCTTCTCAAAAGTGATAAAAAGTTCTGCTCTTATTCACGATGGCGTATGAAGGGAAAAATTATTCTGTACGAATCGGATAGCATCTGCAGACCAATCGGAATACGTCACATCACTTTTTTTCTTGATACTGAATGACGTGATGCATTTTGATTGGTCTCCAAACCGTTCGATGTCCGCATAGAATAATTTCTTGTATGAACGCGGTATATATTTCAGTTATTCATTTTCCACAAAAATACATTACCAAAGACTACTCAAGCTGTCCACACCAGCTGTCTAAGCTATAAATATTTTTATGAAAAATCATATAAAGAATAATAGCTTTCCAAAGCGTTATACCGTGCTTAATTTGCTGCGTGAATATTTCTCTTATCTGATTTTATTTATTTTTCTGTTTTTCATCAGATGGCTGAGACAGCTTCCTTCATTAAAATTCAAATAAGAACTGTTTTAGAAAGACTGCAATCAATGACGTTCCCTACTCTTGTTGCTTCTTCTCCAATCGATTGCCCGTATTTTTTGGCTTTCTTTGAGGCCTTTATTGTTTTTTAGCATGAAGCAACCCAGAAGCTCACGGCTCCTAAATGCTTGTAAATAAAAAACTCCAGCCAGTGAAAACATTTTCAGGGGTTCTTAAATCACAATAAACATTTATAAGATCCAATAAGAAACAGGTAAAAAAAATAAAACATTAGTCAAGGAAAGTAAGCAAAGACAAAATCTTGACATCCATAAATGTTTATTACAACAGGAACAGATGCCCAGCGTTTAGAACGGTTTTCTTCCTACTTCGTAAATCGACTTTCTAGTTAAAATTTTTGTACTAGAAAACCGCTTTAAGAAGTAATAATAAAGTTGTTCGAAACGAAGATCACAGATCAGCCAAGGCCAGTGAAAACCAACTCTGGTTGCCAGAAGACAATGCCGGAAGACCGAAGCGCAGATTCGAAGACAGAAACAAACTCCATGACCACCAAACCAGCCTCGTGGAACCGGCAAATGCATTTTCTCATTATAACCCCAAGCACCACAGAGATCAGGGCCTCCCAGTTAACCATCTCTCTGTTTCTCTCAATAGCAAATTCAGTCAAGCTGAGTCCATTAAAAGAAACAGAAGTGTGGAGAGGAATCTAAATGATTAGATGTAAGAATTCATTTAAAAGGCAATAAGCGTTGTAAATGAGTAAGATGCTTAGTAGGAGGTACTTCCAGCGTCCAGCCCGTGCACAGATAGATTAGTTCCTGTATTTCTTAACCCTGAGGTGCTAGTTACTAAACAAGAACCACATACCTACAAATATGTATGAGAAATCAACTACTAAAAAATCCTATAATATATAAAAACACTGTCGTTGTCAGGTCCCAAGTCCTTGATGAAAAAAAATGAAGGATTAAGTTAGGTAGTCGACAGCCACCGTAAGACTTGTCAGATAATCATGACATGAATCCTACCATTAAAAGAAAAGCATAGTTAAGTCAAGTGTTGCAGAGATGAGGATGCTTAGGTGGATGAGTGACTTTATCCTTAGAGATAAGATAAGAAATGAGCATATATAACATTAAAAAGGAAATAGTTAAAACAAATAAATTTTAAATTTTTAAAAATTTATTCTTTCCATTTTTCTCTCGTGTCTCTCTCACCCCTCATTTCTCTCCCCCTTTTTTTCTCTGCGTTTCTCTCTTTCCCATAAAACATTTATAAAAAAAAAAAGAATCATTTTAAATTTAAGAAAAACGCAAAAATTATTTGCATTTTTCACCGAAAATACTTTTTTTTTTTTGCATTTTCCATTAAAACACAATAACTAATCACATTTTAACGATGCCCAGGGATATACTGTTTAAACAAATTTAGAAGGTTACAATCTTACTCAGAAGAAAAAAAAAATGAAATCAATAAAAATAGTGGAACTATATCAGAACTTGGACCTTGAGTAGTGTCACTTGCAAATATACTTGTTGCAAGCCTGCAACTTAAAATGACAAAAATAGCAGAGGCTCTACCTGCACAAGTAAATGGTAACAACATATGTGCATATTACATCCATAAAGACTTAGGCATTAAGACATGCTATTCAGGATTCTACAGCGTTAAAGGATGTACAAGAACACCAACAAAGTTCCCATTTTTCCATATAGAGATGCCACATTTGCATATCTAAACCCTAAACTTAGAAAATTAACAAGGCATCACTATCATTCTACAAATAAATGATTCCCTCTTCATGATCATAAAGGAGTTGACACAACTTTGCTCTACAAGTGCCCAAAAAACCATAATAATAACCAATATATGCTATTTCAGTAAAGCATTACCTGCAACTACATGTTCAGGTTAACTGTTCTTTGAGGATCAAATTCAATATGATCTCCAACAACTTGACCAAATGTAGCACTAAGACCATACCCTTCATATTTATCGCCATTGCTTCCCATATGACTGTTTTCCAATTCCCTAAAACCGCCGGTCGAAGATAACCAAGGAGGGGCCAAAGCTCCTGACTCAGATGTTGATGTATCCTGGTTCAAGATGGGGATAGATGAGACTGAGGGGTTCTGTGGGGAACTCCCTAATGGTCTTCTGATGCTTGAACTGCTCATTAATGGCATGGATGGAGGCTGTTGGCTCTTCTGCGGAGGCGATTTTGGTCGGAGGCTCTCAATCTCTGGAGTAGTGGCAACCAAATGAGGAGCATCAGGAGGTGGATTTCGTCCACCACCTCCCAGCCAAACCTTTCCATCCTTGTCAGTGAAGTTCTTAAGATAAGCCTATGTGATAAAAAAAATAAAGATTAAAGTTTCATCAAAATGGAAATAAAAATCTTTGAAGAAAGTTATTTATTTGTACCTCGGCATTGAAGTTTGAGGATGTCAAACCTTTCCCAAGAGTTAACCAGCCTGGACGAATGTTATGGTCCCCGCCGAAGAGCTCAAGCCGTCTTCTACCAAGAGAAAAATGTTCAATTATCCTGTACATATCATCAGGTTTTTTGGTTGAACCTGACATCATATTGCAGAAAATTATAAATTCAGCATTTGCTATTAACAGTTTTTTTTTTTTTTTGGACGTAAGACTCTGCACTAAAAATGTTAGGCTTCATTTGGGACGGTTTTTTTATTGCTTCTTAAAGCTGTTTACTTGTATAAAAATTAAAAATTTTGTATTAAAAAACTGTTTTAATAAACAGTAAAAAAGTTATCCCAAATGAAGCCTTAGATTGGAGACATCTAATTAACTACACAACATAAATGAAATGTTATTGGCCATCGATTATTGGATTAATGTATATGAAAAGCTACTCTACATGAATTGTTGGAGATGAAAAAGATAATGTTCATGGATTATTGGATTATTGTAGATTGAAGGATGTTAACCACAAATTTGGGATTAGTTTAACAAACTAGAACCTAAATGGCAATTAATGAGTGAAACCATCCAAAATTTGCAGCAAGAAATTTAGATTTGGGATTAGTTTAACAAACTAGAACCTAAATGGCAATTAAATGAGTGAAATCATCCAAAAATTTCAGCAAGAAATTGAAAACAAATTAACTCATGAACAAATATAATTTAATTCCACGAATTACATTTTTGACATATCATTTTTTCATGAAAATCAAAAGCAATGAACAAGTAAATATCAAATTATATAGATGCAATAGAACAAATAATGAAAATACCTAAGAAAACATAATGCCTCCCACCGGTGCAAGCAGATGACTTCCCCCGTAATTAGATAAATGCACTACCATCGCACTCAAAGAAACCACACATATAACTTGCACTACCAAAATTGAAACTTGAACAAAATTTTATTCAAGCAAAAGTACCCCATCACATTCCTAAAAATAATTATGTATAGACCTTCTCATAACCTATAACAGTATCGGCGTATAAGTAAAACCGAAGTTAGAGAGGCTTTAAAGAAAATTAAGTGTGGAAAAGTTGTTCGACCTGATGATATTCCAATAGAGATGTGGAAATGCTTAGGAGATAAGGAATTTCTTGGCTTACTAAACTTTTTAATACTGTTTTGAAGACAAAAAAATGTCAGATCAATGGATAATGAGTGTGTTAATTCCTATTTTTAAGAATAAAGGTGATGCACATGAGTGCACGAATTATAGAGGAATTAAGTTAATATGTCATACTTTAAAACTATGGGAGCGAGTTATGAAGTGTAGGTTGCGACGTGATACTAATGTTTCTCAAAATCAATTTGGATTCATGTCGGGTAGGTCTACTATGGAAGCCATACATTTATTGAGAGGTTTAATGGAGAAATATAGAGAGAATAAGCTGGATCTACATATGATATTTATTGATTTAGAGAAAGCATATGATAAAGTTCCAATAGAAGTGCTATGGAGAGTTTTTAAAAAGAAAAGAGTTAATAATGCTTATATTCAAATCATTAAAGATATGTATGCAGGGGCTATTACTTGTGTTCAAACACAAGGTGGTTTGACCAAGTATTTTCCTATTTCAGTTGGATTACATCAAGGATCAGCCTTAAGTCCATATTTTTTTGTTTTAGTCATGGATGTTCTCACTAGACATTTGCAAGAGGATGTACCTTGGTGTATGCTTTTTGCTGATGATATTCTTCTTGTTGATAAGACTAGAGAGGGAGTTGAAGGTAAACTTTAATTATGGAGGTCAACTTTAGAGTCTAAATATTTTCGCTTGAGTAGATCTAAAACTGAGTATATGGAATGTAATTTTAGTAGCAATAGACCTAGTGAGGGGATTGTGACTTTGGGCAATCAAGTCATTAATAATAGTACACGTTTTAGATATCTTGGTTGTATTGTTCAGAGTGATGGTGAAATTGATGGGGATATTATCAGCATAATCCAAGTTTGATGATTGAAGTGGAGGAATGCATCGGGCTTATTGTGCGATAGAAAAGTCCTCAAACTTGAGGGAAAATTCTATAAGATGGTGGTGAGACCTGCAATGCTTTATGGTGTTGAATGTTGGCCATTAAAAGAGAAGCATAATACTAAGTTAAGTGTTGCAGAGATGAGGATGCTTAGGTGGATGAGTGGCTTGACCCTTAGAGATAGGATACGAAATGAGCATATACGTGAAAAGGTTGGAATAGCTCCAGTGGAAGATAAGATTAGAGAGAGTCCCTTTAGATGGTTTGGCCACATTAAACGGAGGCCTTCTGATGACCCTGTTAGGAAAGTTGAGGTGTTAGATTTGACTTATGTTAAGAAAGGTAGAGGTAGACCTAAAAGACTTGGTTAAAAAATATTAGAAATGATCTTTCTTTATTAGATTTAAATGAGAATTTGACTTTTAACCGTACACAATGGCGAAAAAGGATTCATGTAGCCGACCCTGCGTAGTGGGATAAAGGCTTGATTTTGTTGTTATTGTTATTGTTAATTTAACTTTAAATTAATTCCAAAAAATGAGAAAAAATTCCTCTCTTTAATTTCAATTTCTTAACAATTGAATAAGCCAATCCTTGAATAGAGACAGTGAGACACCATGCTGATGACCATCCATAGCATTTAACCCTCCAATAGAAATCATAAGTAAACCACAACAACCAAGGAAGTGTGTGAGGAACAAAAAAACAACAAAAGACGGAGAACAAAAATTGGAAACCCTTAAGCCCATCCAATGGTCACTTCGACCAAAAACATCTATATTCTACCAAGTTCCATCGTCTAAATAGTTCGATATCAAGCACCTATTATTCAAGTTAATGAAAAAGGGCCTTATATGCAAAGAATGATAAAAGAAACACCAATAAGAGTAATAAATAGTTTTAACGTGGAAAATTTAGGAAGGAAACATGGCATAATATAGTTGAAATGGCTACAACATGTGCAAAAATATTAACACAAAATAATTTGAATAGTGAACAAATACTAAAAATTCATAAATCTAACACAAATATTTAGGATAAAGGCAGTCCTAAATAATCAGGATGAGTTGTTAATGATAAACAAATTCACAAATATCATGAAATTCAAGAAAAAAGGGGTGTTTTCACTTATTTTCAAAATATTATTTTACTGAATCAACTTAACAATGGCACAGCGAAACATTATTATTACTTCATGATATCAATAAATACCATAATAATATAAATTTTCATGTTAAATAAATCGAAATATTTCTAAATACTTGATAACACTGCAACACCAAGAAAATAAACAAATTTACGAAATAATATTATAAATTAACTATATAATATTTTTTAACATGCTTATATTTATAATAATTTTAGAGGAACACTTCGTTATTCATAAAAGTGAAGCCAGCAAACACAAAGAGATTTCTTCATACTTATAAATAAATAAAAAATCTTCTAACAAAGATTACAGGATGATTCCAAGAGATACCAAAATATTGAGTTGTAGTGGTGGATGTATATCTTAAAATTATAAAGAAAACAACAAAAAAGAAATTATTTTCCAAGGATAAGTATCGTATATAAAAGATGAGAACTTATTGATTTTTCAAGATAAGTTGTTAATAGAGGCAAGCTGAAATTCTTTAGCTGAACCAAATCTAATGTGGGATAAAATTGTTAGTTTTATAAAGAGATTCGGTCAAGTGAATACAAAATATTAATTCATATCATTTTAAAAATAGCAAAAATTGAATACGGCCAAGGCTTACAATAACTTCAAAAAAAAAAAACATTATAAAAAGTGGGGTGAGTAAAACAAAAGTTAAAATTGTTTATGATTTACATAATAGACTTTGTATAAAGGAAGGAAAATATGAGATATATAAAATATCTGAAGCAAGATTTAGGAGATCAAGAGAATCTAATCAAGTTAGAAGCATTCAAAAAAAAAAAAAAAGATAATAAGAACCAGATTCAACATAAGACATCAAAGAATGATGAAAATATTACATTGAAATTTACTAAATGAGAACATTGAGAAATTAGCTTGGAAGAGCACAAGCAATATAATGAAGTATATTGTAGATTGATCCAAGAAATAAAGTGGATTTGGCAATGAAGAGGATGTGTAAAGGTGTGTGTTTAGGTCTAGATGAGATGACAATTAAATTTATGGAGTTATAGGAAATATTGCAATGATTTTATTCAAAAATATTTAAATAGAAATTTGAATAATAAAATGACAACAAATAACAACATCATCAAGACTTTGTCCCACTGCGTGGGGTCGTCAACGTGAATCCTTCTTCTCTGTTGTATCTTGTTAAGAGTCAATTTCTCATTTAAATCTACTTAAAAAAGGTCATTTCTAATATTTTCTGGCCAAGTCTATTTATGTCTACCTCTATCTTTCTTAACATATAGGCTAAATCTAATACATATACTCTCCTAACAGGGACATCATAATGTTGACGTTATATGTGCCAAACCATCTAAGTGACTCTCTCAATCTTATCTGCCACTGGAGCTACTCTAACCTTTTTCATGTATATACTCATTTCGCATTTTTGTCTCTAACAGTGAAGCCACTCATCCACCTAAGCATCCTCATCTCTGCAACACTTAACTTAATTTTATGCTTCTCTTTTAATGGTCAACACTCTGCGCCATAAAGCATTGCAAGTCTCAACACCATCTTATAGAATTTTAAATTTCTATCAAACAACATCCCCAAAAAATTGTAAAAAAATAAATGGAGAAAAAAAAAGGTTGATATCTATATTTAAGAACAAAGACTATGTTCAAGATTGTGATAAGTATAAAGGAACTAAACTAATGATTCATACAATGATGATGTGGGAGAGACAAATGCAACATAAGGATAAAAAAAAGTATGATTCAAATAATCAATTTGACTTCATGGCAAGAAGATCTATTATGAAAGTAATTTTTTTATTAAGACAATTAATAAATAAGTACGGAAAGAAAAGAAAGGTTAATCAAATGATTTTTAATTTTTTATTGACCTTGCGAAAGCATGTAATTGAATATAACAAGAATTTGTTTTGCGGGCATAAAAGCATAATGGTTTCTCAATGGAACTAAACTAATGATTCATACAATGATGATGTGGGAGAGACAAATGCAGCATAAGGATAAAAAAAGTATGATTCAAATAACCAATTTGACTTCATGGCAAGAAGATCTACTATGAATGAAATTTTTTTATTAAGAAAATTAATAAAGAAGTACGGAAAGAAAAGAAAGGTTAATCAAAATCATTTGATTAACCTTGCAAAAGCATGTAATTGAATATAACAAGAATTTGTTTTGCGGGCATAAAAGCATAATGTTTTCTCAATGGTATCATTAATGTTGAAGGTATATTCATATTATTAAAGATGTATGGGATGCAGCACAAATTAGTATTAGAATTGGCGATAGAGCAACCAAGAAACTTCTAAGCATAGTAAATTATATTAAGGATCAACACTGAGTCCACATCTCTTTTATATTAGTTAAAAAATATTTATAAAAGAAATTCAAAGTGAGATTTCTTCTTGTATGATTTTTATATAATATACTTGTAATTAGAGACACATCCACTAAAATAGATTAAAAGAATAGAAATGTTGGGAAAAATATTTAGAAGATAGGGAATAATAATTAATAAAATAAATACCAAGTATATAATATGCAAGGCTTTTAAAACCGGACCGGACCGGCCCGTTCAACCGGTTGAACCGCGAACCGGCCGGCCGGCCGGTTACGGGTCTCTAAAGAACCATTTTCGCATCGAACCGGCCTCGGACCGGTCGAACCGCCGGTTCGACCGTCGAACCGGAAAACCGGCTCCGGTTTTGAATAACCGTCCGGGTCGGAAGTTTCGACATTTTGAGCGGAAGCCAGAACGGGAGGGCTATGAAGTTAAATTTCTCCATTTCGCGCATCTTCCTCGGCTCCCTCACTGTTGTCCGACCTTGCTCGTCCGACGGAAGTTACGACATTTTGATCGGAGATCGGAATAAGAACGGGAGCACGCTGACTGTGAAAGTAACTTTCCACCTTTCGTGTGCTTCTCCGGCACCTTCGTGGTTGATCGACGTCACCTCTCCAACGGCTTGCCCTTCCCATTAGATCGGAAGTTAGACATTTTGATCGGAAGCAACAACGTGAGCTTGCCGGACTGTGAAGGTAACTTTTATCCTTTCGCGCGCTTCTTTGCTTCCTCCGGTGACGTTCCCTTACCTATAGGATCGGAAGTTAGACATTTTAATGTTTTTTGTGGATTTTCCTTTTGTTTTGTGTTGCAGATTTGGTGAATAAAATTTCTGAACTTATTATTGTTGTGCATGGATGACTAATCTGCCCTAAATTTCTCTGGTTTTAATTGCATTGTTGTGGATGAAAAAAGCATATAGTTGGCTAAGTGTGGGCTACTGGCTTTTGTCACCAATATTATATAAGTAAAAGTATTATAATTTTTTTTATTGTTTGTTATATATTTATAAATAATTGTGTCATTATTATAATATTAAAATATAATAAATATTTATTACGTCATCCGGTTCGACCCCGGTTCGACCCCAATCGAACCATCAAACCTCTAACCCCTCCTTCTCCCGGTTCATTGACCGGTCCGGTTTTCAAAGCCTTGATAATATGTAATTTCAGTGAGTATGAAATTCACAATTATCATTCAATATTATTAGAATATACACTAATACTTAGGCATGATAAGCTTAAGTATGTTAGATATATTATACAAAAGAATGGAAATATAAATGAAAATATAACATTTAGACTTAAAGATAAATGGCTAAAATGGAGAAGCGACTCAATTGTTTTGTGTGGTAAAAGAATATCAGGGAAAAAGGCAAATTTTAAAATATTACAATTAGGCCAATAAAGTTGCATGAATCCAAATATTGGAATGTAAAAGTCGTAGATATTTAAGTTGATTGCAACATAAATGAACAAGTAAAGCTAGATGTGTGAAAAAATTAAGGGGAATAAATTAATGAAGGATTAAATCAGATGAGTGATTAAAGTAACAGTTATTGAAGACAAAGTAGTAAAACAAACTAGATAGTTTGACCAAATCTAAGATTACATGAATAAAAATTATTCAAAATGATTTGTGAAGAGTAATTTAACTTCCTATAGCACTTAACAAGAATGAATAAAAAATAAGGATTAATAAAGCCAACCACAAATAATTGGGATAAGGCTAATGATGACAATGATGATAATGATACTTATAATAATTTTCATCCCAATAAAATAATAATTAAAGTAACTTCTAAGCAGTACTAGTAATATTCAAAATTATTATTATATCTCGCGATGAAATACCTATAAAATAATCAATTTATATCTTAAATTTATCTTATTGAGTATAAATAACTAATTATGAAATATGAATGCATACCAGAACAAAAAATATAGTTATTATTTAATATCATTAGGAATTAATTCAATGATAGTTATCTAAATACATGACAAAACTGATAGCAAAGTTATTTGAAATATCATAATCCTTCACATTACCTAATGCTATCAAAGTCATAAGATATCATTAATACCATATTTAAACATTCCATTTTTGTTTTGTCTAGAATTTTTCATAGTGATGGTAGCAGTATGAACAAGAAAATGAAGCAATCATTCATTCCAACTGGCCCAAAGGATATTTGCCAAATCCTGAATCAAATAACCATTTCTCTTCATTAACCAAAATGAATGAATTAAAAAATCTATATTTTTCCTCTTCCATGACCATGACCAAAAAGTTAGTGATACAACATACCTCCATCTTTTACAAATTTGGCATCCTAATTTCAGTCTCTCCTCAAAGTTGATAAGATACAAGCTCTACTATCTAATTATTTTTATCTGCACGATTTTGAAAAAAAAAATCTTATTTATCTAATTCAAAGCAGTTTAATTAATTAAAAGTTATACCCAGTGCAAGAAGTTCCCGCAATTATAGAGGTCTAGAGAGTAGTTGTTGTATGCAGCATTGCCGCTGGCATTTGCAGGCCGCTAAAAGTTAACCAAGTTAATTAAATTACTGCAGATTAGATTGTGCCCCAAATTGTATCATGCAACCAGTTTTTTATTTAGAGACACAAAATTAACTGATTTTGTTTCGTATTTTTTGGATGAAATTGTGTTTCCATTATCATATAACATCTCAAACATTTATGTTTTCTTGGAAAAGGATAACGGCACAAAAACTAAATAAAAAAATGGAAGCATGAAAGAAAGACAAATGCTGAACATAGCCTTAAAAATCCATGATTCGATCCCCGTAGATTTGTGGTTTTCTAAAAGACAGTAAACATACCAAGAAGTTATCTCAAGTGCTAGCCAAAAAAAAAGGCAATAATGAAGGCGTTCAACAGGAATTTGCCAAAAAACTTAACCTTAAATTTTAAATTTTTAATTTAGTGCTAGTAGGGGTAACTTAAATAATAAAACAAAAGAGAATGCTGACCATCAGGAGGCTCTTCAGCTATTATAATATCAGTATCAATGTTAGCGTGGATAATATGGCCATCTGTACTACGACGAACAGTACCCTTAATGCCCATCAAACAATGCTCCTGCTCAACAAATATTTAAATAACAAGAAAAAAAAAATTTAAGGGAGTCAGCGAACTTACGCCAACAGACATTTGCTTAGATAAACTATAAGGCATCTAGTGCAAGACATGAAACCACAAATGTTAAACTTTCTGAACCTTTGAATGCTGAAATAACGTGTGAGAATCATGCCGTAAACCAGGAGTTGCATTTCTTTTGTTTGTTTTCACCCAACAGATATCTTCACATCTTCGAAATCCCCACTACATTACAGCAATAGTAGATTCACATAATAAGCATTTAACAATGGATAAAAGAATGCATATACAACACAACAGCAGTAAATAAAACCCGAGAAAGCAATTATCTCTTTAACGCATATTCTAATCTAATGATATTCCACATGATGCAGATATAGAGCTTTCTACCATGACTATTTTGTCAATCTCCTTCACAAAGCCTATGAATTAAAGAATCAAAATTTGAGAATAGAAAGGCAATGAAACCCAGCCAACATACCTTTTTAAGACACTGACGACCTTGTTCAAGGCCAACACCATCACCAACCCAAAGGAAAATAAATGATGGAGTGTCCGCTATAGCCTGATGGAAAGAAAAGATGAAGCCTGAGATTCCAACTCAAATCATAATCTACGGTGCATAACTAGTTGATACCATAATTTTTTTAGTAAATACAACCAAGATCCCTGAATGTGGACCACGTTTCACATAGGAACACATTTTTAAAAACCCTCCATTTACACTCCAATGTCTTTTGAAATTTCAATATGCTCCCTGAGCTTATTTTCTTGTCTTCATGGCCAACTTTTCGTTTTTTTATATGTTAAATATTTCTTTAATTACGTACATGCCAAATGTACCTTATTTATATTTCTAACTAGCAAAAAAACTAGTAAACCTGTTTATTTGTACACGTCACAATCAAGATATTAAGAATTTAATAAAATGAAAAATGAAGAATGGGAGACGAGGAGGGGTGAAGCTTACATTAGAATCATTAAAAGAAAGAAAATGGAATGAAAAAATAGTAGTATTTCAATCATTTTCAACCCAAATGACAGTTGTATTGACAGAAAGGCCTTCATGAAAGAATCTTGACTTTGATGGAACAAATGGAGAGTTTTCTAAGATGTGTCTCAATGTGAATCATGGCCAAAATTTCAGGGGGCTATATGATTTTACCCTAAATATTTTTACAATTAATTGAGCTGACTATAAAGGAGGAGGGTGGGGGTGTAGAATTAACAATGCATAGGGAGACAGGGTGCACACCTCAATTTTAAGATTTTGTATTTCTTCAAATGTCCAATACTCAATATGATCAGTAATACCAGGAGCTCGGTGAACATATTCTTCCCAAGGAGGATCAACTAGAATAACATCAAATTTGGTACCAAAGAATTCCGGAGTAAGGGTAAATTCACGTAAGTCAGTCTTGTAGTACAAAGGTGGGGTAGAAGAGTTGATTACTATTTCATCTTTCCTCTGAATAAGTTCCCTCAATTTAGGATAGTCCTCCACAACACTCGTGAGCTCCAACTCCCTGATAAAATTTTGCGGCCTCATACCAGTGTCAACAAAATTCTGAGAGTAGTCATTCTGCTCTCCTCTTGAAGGAGCTTTACCAGAAGGCCCGCCTATTCTGGATTGGCCCCAACCTGCAGGAGCCTTATCATTTGATGTTTCACGAACATTTGCTCCATTGGCATTGAACTCGGGTCCAGACAAATTCGAATTGGTCCTTCCAGATCCCTGTTGATTAAAATACATGACTTGATTTGGGCCAGCTCCCAAATTAGGACCAAACCTCGGTCCTGCCGGACCAGGAGGAATGGGAGGAAGATTAGGCGGAGCGGCTAGCATATTTATGTCAACACCTCTACCTGCAGACCAAGGAAGAGGCCCAGCAAATGGAGGAATGAAAACACCTGGACCAAGAGGTGGACCAACTGAAGGGGGCATATTTGGCCCCATTGATTGCATTGTTCCTGTAGGAAGGCCAAGGTGACCAAACGGAGGACCCATCATATGCATTGGAAGACCGCCACGTTGAACATCCCTCCCAGTCATCCTTCCCCTTCCACCTCTGACAGCTTTGCCACCCTTTTGCCCTTGTTGAGAAATTCTATTGAAAGAACTGGATCCCTGATTATATCCAAATGGAGCTTGAGAAGAGGTACTACTATTCGGGCCCTGCCCTACACGGTTGGAGTTTACAAGCCCCTTCAGACCTCTTCCTTTCCCACCCTGAGAATCAAAGGAATTCCTACCAGATATTTGATCCATTGGTGAATCAACACCATCATAAAATTTTTCCTGCAAATCATCACTGCTACCATACCCCACTTTAACCTTATCATCAGTATGATAGCACCATTCCTCGTCATTTGCAGCCCCAGAACTATCATGCGCTGACCCAACTTCAGCTCGCCTGATGGAAAATGCTGAAACAGACACATCACTCACAAAATCAAGATTATGGTTAGGCTTGATCTCTATTGAATCTGAGTTATCAAATCTACCACCTTCACCCCTGACTCTATTGTCTTTCTTATATCCAGGACGAAAATTAAGCTTATCACCATCCACTTTAACCAGCTCATGGCTTTGTGAGTCCCATACCCTAATGTTATCAAACTCATTTACAACTTTAGTGTCCTGCTTAGACTGACCTCTCCAATAATCTTTAGAACTTTCCCGATCCACATTTCTATCATTCCAGCTAGCATCTTTTCCCTTAGAAGTCCTAAAATCTCTGTTATCCTTGAGAGAATCCTTGCCTTTAACAGCAGTGTTTCTTTCAGTATCGGATTCAGATATGCCTTTATCATGATCTTCCATATCTTTGGAATACCTTCTGCTTCCTTCAGGACTCGGAGATCTATTATACCTGCCGTTCCTCCCATTTTTGTCCCTCATCCGTGGTTGTATATCTTCATCAGACCTCTCCATGATTTCAACCTCATCATGACTACCATGTAGAGCATCATATTGTTGTTTGTGCTTCTCTTCTTTCTCAATATGTGACTTGCCACTGTACCTATGCCATTCCATTTCCTCAGTCAATGCAGGAGATCTTGCTCGTACCTTAGCCTGCTTATCATGTCTTAAAAACTCAGCAATTTCCTTATGATCATCACCTTGTGTCTCTAGTAGGCCTCGATTTCTCTCTACATCTCCCCTCTTTCCATCTCTGCTGCTAGCAGCAACACTCTTTTCACCAGTGAATTCCACAATCCGGCCTCTAGTGTGACCTGAGTCAGTTCTAGGCTCAGACGCTCTGTCCTTGAGATTCCCTTGCTCGGAAGATTTTCCACCCCTTGGATCAGATCCATCCATATAAATGCCATCATCAGTTTTCCTCCCATAACCCATATCATCCCATCTCCTTCGGGTTGGAATATTCCTTTCTTGCTCACGTTGACTGTGGCCCTTCTCTCTAGTGTTCTCTTTTCTATCAGAATATCTGGATTCCCGGTCCTGGGCCTTCTCAGCTTCACCCTCAGGGGGATTGTCCACTTTGATTCTTCCCTTGCCCTCCGGGCTCTCATGTCTGGGACTTGAATTTGTCTTCTTCAAAGAATTTGAGTCAACATGATCATCAATTCTTTTCTGGCTGCCTTCCAAATCTTTACCATGATAGCCTTCATTTGATCTCACCTCAGATCTCTCTACAGCATTCTTCCTCGCAATTTTAGCGCGTGAATCCCTTTTAGTTTCATAGTCATCCTCATTAGCAGTATCTGCTTGAATTAAACCTCCTGACTTCTTTCTTCCTTCATCCTTATCTCCAGAACTCTTCTTTCTGCCACTGTCCTGCTCCTCAACATCTGCAGCATTAAATCTCGGTAACTTGCTTGATCGGTGCTTCTTCCGCTCAATATTGTCCCAGTCATCATCATCCTCGTATCTACTCTGCCTAACATCCATGTGTTCCTCAATGTCCCTCTTATTGCGATTCTGAACTGGTTCCAGAGTATCCATAAGGCAACTGAATCATTAACTTGAGACTTTCAAATATAGACAGCAAATCATAAGAATCATGAAAAGAAATGTACTTCTGCAACAACGTCACATTAAAAAAAAACATCATCAAACCATAGGAAAAATGGGGAAAATGGATTTAAAAGCTGCACAAAAGCTTCAGTAATGACAGTGAAACTGGCGGTTGTACTATGAAAAACATAAAAATAACTGAAATAGTAATGTAATAAAATCCCAGCTGTAAATTGTTTGTACTATGTGCTACCAAGTAAGCTTCACAATTTATTCAACAATAAAAACAATTTAAAATAATTAACAATAGACTATAAAAGAAAATAAAATAAAATGAATGCATCAATTGCATATTCTAGATGCAATAGACTTTCTGCAGTAATAAAAATTTGGATGGCAAACCTGCATCTGGAATTCCATTCACCTATCCCAAGTAAAATAGAACCACACCGTTAGAAACCATGACTTCCCATGCTTGATATTAGCTTTGCATTTGATACAGACATAGCAAACAAAACCAAAACCAAAAAAAACTTTGTTGACTTCTCCTCAATCCACGACTCCGCGCACAAGTACCTTACCCAAGCGGTCGTCTGCTATATTTGCTTTCTCTTTGAAATAGAAATTCTTTCTCATTTTTGTTATATTTTACTTTTAAGTTTTTTGCACCTAATGTCCCTTGTAGGCATAGATTTCAGGCATGCATATTAGTAGTGGTGGAGTCAGAAATTTTTTTAGGGGTGCCCAACTTCAACCTTGCTTCCACATACATGTGTATATATAATTGCTGAGCAAGACCGAAAAGATTAATAACTGCTTAAAATCACGATTTGATGTATGTTGGGTAGCAATAAAAGGTATATATGTTAATATTGTTTTGTAGTTGAAGTGCTTTCAATGCTCCTAGTTGTTATCAGATGGTTTTATTGTGCCAACCATAAGCCTAAGAAACCAAGTAGCTGATAGTCAGCGTGTTGAAGGCCTTCACGAAAATGCTCATGGGGGAAGAAAATGGTAACGACAAAACAAATGTTTTATTGATAGAAACTATTTATTAACGAATAAATTCGAGCTTGTCAAATGTCACCAAATAATTGTAAAAGAAAGAAGAAATGATAATAACAACAATAAGGGTGTGGAATATTTGCTTTGGGAGTTTCTGATTCATACTCAAAAAAAAGCATTGGATTGCATTGAAACTGCTAGCAGGAAGGAGGGGGCCACCCTCTCTCCGCCCCTGCATATTATGCTTAACCATTTTCATCATTTTGCCTTGAACATTGACAAGATATTTCAAATATTGCTGATTAAGTTATTGATGTATACTTTTTTGTATTGATTTATTTATTATTACTTAGTTTTTTACAGATGCAATGGTATGACTATCCTTTATTTTACGTTAGAGGGCAAGGTTGGTGATTCTGTTTAATAAATTCTCTTCTAGCTATGCAATTGAACATGTTGGCGATTAAAAATTAATTAGGCTTCTAAAGTCTAACAATGATGCATACGGAAAATCAATGGTTTAAATTTCTTAATATGAGCCAACTTGTATATGCTAAGTAAAACTTAGTTGATGAATTATTGCGCGACAATTTTATGATGCTAGATTTTGCTTTTATTTTCATGTATTTTTATGTCTTTAGAACGTTACACATGGCTGTGAGGACAATATACACAGCTTTTAATATCAGTTCTGCTTCCGAAAATTTATGAAAGATAGCTGATAGTAAAATGAGCCACTGTTGTATTATTTTTTCAAGCTGTATTACTTCTGTATTTCCTTTATTTACAGTTCTCCCATTGACTTGTTCATAACTATCCTTTTTAACCAAGCTGAAGCAGCCAATGATGTGTTGTCCGAATTTTAGAGGTGTTGCAAGTTCAAGACCATGTTTATCAGGGAGAAACTCCTTGGACTGCTAAATTCAAACGATATTATTGGACCTTTCTGAGGCATTTCCTGATAATGAAATGTATTTCTTGATTTATCCCTATTTGTTTACTTTATGTCATTCCTGTAAATAATTCACCAGGGCCTTCATTTCTAATAAAATGCTGCAGCAAATGATGTGGTGTCCTAGTTTGATTTCTTAACTAATCAAAACTCGTTTGCTGCTAATTAATATTCATAAGATCATGCTTAGTAGTTATTCGTAGTTTGAGAAACTTGCATTATAGGTAGACTCTCCTTTAAAAAAGCTTTCTACCCCAAATCATTGATGGAAAAAAATGTGATCTATTTACGTAGCAATGTTCTTTCATTAAAATCTAGTTGTTTCTGAAATAATGTTAACTGGCAATCATACTCCAGTGACTGCCATGAGTCAACAAAAGACTTCTATCTATGACGCAGATCTAGTAGACGTTTTATTAAGGCCTCACTTGTTTCGGCTTTTTTTTAACTTTTTTTTGTTTAGAAACCGCGAATTTAATTTTTTTATTGTTGTTTGGATGGGACGCTTCTATAGAAATGCTTTTTAGGGAACTTCATTTTTCTACTGTTTTGAAAAACTTTTTGATATTTGTTTCTCCATTAGAAAACTACACTCCTTTAACCAATGTTTCTAAAATTATCTTTTACAAAAATAGAGGAAGAACCCAACGAAGCCTAAGATTTCTAACAAAAGAAAAAATAAATGATAACGATTACCAGCCAAGTTTTATGAAATTTAGCGAAAGTATTAATTACATTTAAGTTGTGGTACGCCTTAAAAAGCTTTAGCTGTTGGTGATAAATTATGTCAACTTTAATTTGAATTATGAGGTGGCAAAACTACTGCTGCTACAAAAAAAAGATTCTTAGAAGGATAGTTATACATCGTGCAGTTCTAGCTCCCACCCTGTTGTGGATGAGGACCAAGCATCCCAAGTGGGAAACTCTAAAACCACTTGTGTTTGGGTAACTAGTTGGGAACAATATCTATATGGAAACATAGGAAAAGGTGTCCATACAAAGGAACTCTGGTGTGATTTTGTTAGTACACTAAACCGAAGGTTGGTTACCAACTACATGAAGGCGTTAGTCGTGACAAGGTTCAAGAACATTAAGGCTGACTTTCCTATGTCGTGCAAGCTTTCAAATATAAGTGGATGGGGTTAGGGTGAAGCTAATGCGATTTGGAAGTAAAAATAGCAAATAGATAGGAAGAAAAATTGGTAGAACACAAAGACAATGACTGATTTTCTTATTTCTTCTTCAACAATAAAGCAAGATAAAATTGATCTACTATTTGAGAGGAAGATCGGTTCTCCCACAAATCCTAGACGCAACTAGGAACAGCTCCTAAGAAAACTACAGCAAACATAAATCACATAATGAAAATAAAACAATCTAATTACCATTAAACAAACTATCATATTTTCCTCCCAAATCTAAATTTAAATCAACCCTCTTTTCCTTAATAAACTTCATAATTCCCTTGCAAACCAGAGTTCAAATCAACCCTCTTTTCCTAAATAAAACCTTCCTAATTGCCTCCAAACTCTAAATTCAAATCAGTTATCTTTCCCTAAATAAAACCTTCTTAATTCCCTCCCAAATCTTAATTCAAATCAGCCCTCTTTCCTTAAATAAATCTTTTCCAATTTCCTACCCAATCTAAATTCAAATTAGTCATATTTCCCTAAATAAACTTTCCTAGTAATTTCTCACCCGATATCTCCTCCTTACATAGTGAATATTAACTCCCCTGGGCCCATCTCATATGGCTCCCATGGGGCTTCGTACTCCGGCAAATCCTTCCGTCTAATAAGTACCTTCTGAACAATAAACCAAGGATGCTAAGAACGAATTGGCAACACAATAAGATTAGTTCTATCCTCTTCAATTTATTTGTTGAAAGTTCTAAATTGCTCCTCTTCCTTGTCATCAATCATTCGCATCTTCAACTTTCTCACCCTAGAATATCTACTGCCCAAATAGCTTCTTCCTCCTCCAGTATAGCGGTTGTCATAATCCCTCCATGTTTCCCCCATGTATCAAGGATGGAAAGTCCATATTTCTTCCACCCGCCTCACATGACCCGATCCCCATGGCTCGGCTTGTCCCTCTCCTCCACTGGTCATCCACTCCACTTGCCCAAAAGACCTCCCATAACGGTCGGACATTCTACCACCTCAACCACGAAACTCCCTTCTTGTTGTCCCCCATCTAGAAACTCTATTATGCCTCTTATCAGAGCCCTAGGAGGTGGCTATTGACCCCCTCTTCTCCGATGGCCAACTCCCCTTGCCCGAAATGCCTCTCATAGTGGTTGGCCACCCTACCACCTCCATCAAAAAATTTCATCATTGCTTCCCCTCATCCAGAAACCCTATTTCGCCCCTCATCGGAGCCCTAGACGGTCATTTTTTTATGGAAGAAACTCTCCACTTCAAGCTCTTCTCCCCCGATCTCTTTTCCCTTAGATTAGACCAAGGGAATCCCGGCCAAATCATAGTTAGGGTTAGCCATCAAAACCGCCAATGGAGTTTTGAAATGCATCTCAATGAGCTTCTTCATCATCTCCTCCAACCTCCCCGATCTCTTCAAAATCTTCCTTCAGGGGTTGAGAATTTCTCCTTCACCCTGGATTTGAATTGCATCATTCAACCTTCCAACGCATCCACCTTTGTTGTCATTGTCTCCAAAAAAACCTCGCCTGATACCAACTTGATGTGATTTTGAAGTAAAAATAGAAAATAGATAGGAAGAAAACTTGCTAAAACAAAGACAATGATTGATTTCCTTATTTCTTCTTCAACAATAAAACAAGAAACAATTGATCTACAATTTGAAATGTCGATCAGCTCTCCCACAAACCCTAGACGCCGCTAGGAACAACTCCTAAGAAAACTACAACAAACATAAATCACATAATGAAAATAAAACAACCTAATTACCTTTAAATAAACTATCACATTTCCAACCCAAATCTAAATTCAAATCAGTCATCTTTCTCTTAATAAAACATTCCTAATTCTCTCTCAAATTTAAATTAAATCAACTCTCTTTCCCTAAATAAAACCTTCCTAATTTCCTCCAAAATCTAAATTCAAATCCCCATCTGTCCTTAAATAAATCTTTCCTAATTTCCTCCCCAATCTAAATTCAAATAAGTCATCTTTCCCTAAATAAACTTTCCTAATCATTTCTTCATTGGTTTCTCCTCATATATTGAATATTAACTCCCCTGGGCCCACAAGTTGGACCATCCCGGCGTATTAGAAGTGTTGCAAATTTTTATCACAAGCGGTAAAATATGGGAAGAAATAATCCATGTGAGTTTGAGCAATCGATAATGCTTATGTGGTATTCTTAGTTTTCATTTAAAAGATAATAACATTACTCGTACAATCCTCCTCCAGCAAGAGATTTTTGAAATTTTTTATGGTGATAACATCAAAATTGGTACACAAGTTCGTATTGTGTGTGACTCTAGGAGAAACATCGCCAATGACATACCTAGCGTACAAGAGGTTGAGCCCATGAATAATGATTTCATCTTTGCCCATGATGTTGGTGTTGTTAAGGAGATAGGCAACTCCCCAGATAGGCAACTCCCCTGCCAACTTCACAATGGTCAACTAGCAATCATCTTTGCCTACTACAGGAACCAAAAGATCTCATGGAGAGATCTCGGGCACATTACGCCATCCGAAGAAGGGAGTTGAGATAGAGTTGTTGACCAACCTACCGACAAAAAAAAAAGTCAAAAATGTTGAAGCTACACAACACTCCTCGGATTGACACTCCCCTCACAATAAATAAATGTTGAATAAGCTTGATAATATTCCAACATTTCTATCAAGGTAATTCTTGCAGTGCACAATGTAATCAAGACAACGACGACAACAACAACAACAACAACATCAAGCATTTGTCCCACTACATGGGGTCGGCTACATGAATCCTTTTTCTCTATTGTTTCCTGTTAAAAGTCAAATTTTCGTTTAAATCTAGTAAAGAAAGATCATTTATAATATTTTATAACCAAGTCTTTTTAGGTCTACATCTACCTTTCTTAACATAAGTTAAATCTAATACCTCTATGTTCCTAACCCGGTCATCGGAAGGCTATCGTTTTATGTGACCAACCCATCTAATGCGACTCTCTCTAATCTTATCTTCCACTGGAGCTACTCCAACCTTTTCATGTATGCTCATTTCGTATCCTGTCTCTAAGGGTAAAGCCACTCATCCACCGGAGTATCCTCATCTCTGCAACACTTAACTTAGTATTATGTTTCTCTTTCAATGGACAACATTCGGCACCATAAAGCATTGCAGGTCTCACCACCATCTTATAGAATTTTTCCTTAAGTTTGAGAGGGACTTTTCTATCACACAACAAGCTCGATGCATTCCTTCACTTCAACCATCCAACTTGAATTCTGCTAATAAGATCTCCATATATTTCATCATCACTCTGAATAATAAATCCAATATATTTAAAATGTGTACTTTTATTAATGACTTGATCGCCCAAAGTCACAATCCCCTCACTAGGCCTATTACTACTAAATTTACACTCCATATATTTAAGTTTAGATCTACTCAAGCGAAAATCTTCATACTCTAAGGTTGGCCTGCATAATTCAAGTTTACCTTCAACTCCCTCTCTAGTATTATCAACAAGAAAAATATCATCAGCAAAAAGCATATACCAAGGCACATTCTCTTGCAAATGTCTAGTGAGAACATCCATGACTAAAGCACAAAGATATGGGCTTAAGGTTGATCCTTGATGTAATCCAACCGAATA